AAAGTATTATAAACATGAAATAAACAAAATAAAAGAAATTAGCCAAAACTGATCAAAATGTCACTTAACTGAATAGCTGACGACAAGTGTACGTGGTAGGAACTGAGGACGTGTGAACACATTTGGTTATGAAAATGTTAATTGTTGCATGTAGCATTGGATTTCATGTTTTCCTTTTCAATAAGAGTTAACGTTTTTGAAAACTCAATACACGCATTTGTGGCAATCGGCTCCGGAAGTTAGCTCAGCATCCATTCGAAACTGGCGAAAGCGGCTTGGTAAGGCGATGAATTTTCTACTTGTAGCGCGTTTTCCTGCTTTTCAATAAGCTTGCCGAATCAGTCCCACATGCCGGAGCTCTCTAGGCATGCGGTGGCAGTTTTGTTTCGCTTGGAGCATTTCGGAGTCTAAAGAAAAGACGGCGTAAATCAGTAAACTTAAATAATTTTACATGCTAACCGAATGCAATTTAGCGAAAATGTAAAACATATTGGGTTATATGAGCGACATACTCACAAAATCATACTGTAAGCCCTTATCGCCAGTTAACGACGTTTCTTCCGAAAAAGTTGGAGATGTAAAAGTTCTGTAAAATTTATTTATTATCATTAAGTATTTATTTCGAAATTGCGGAAATGTTTAGTTTGGACAACAATTTTGGGGTTGGGGCAGAGGGGGACAGACAGGGAGAGGATATTTTTTGTGTTTGACAGCTCAGCTCGGAAATTTGCAAACAAATACCGTAGTATTTAAAACCGAAATTATTATTAAATTAGTGCACAGATATAGTAAATAAAGCGTAGACTCTTGTCTACATGTGTGTGTAAATGTTTTTGATTCGGGTCACGCGTTTGGGCACAGCAACCCAAAATCGTTGTACAAATAACTAAACCGTACCCCGAAATTGTTCTTCACATACTTTCTTTTTTGTGACACATTTGGCAGAAAAGACATGACGTCGGAAAATTCCCAGTCCACAGTCTTTGGCAACGATGGCTCAGTTAAAGCTTCTCCACTAGAGCTTCCACTTTTACCTTTTTCTGCCACTTTGGAAACTATCTCGTATGCTCATCCAAGCCAACTTGCATTCATTTGCTACAAATCCATTCAATAGAACTATAAAATGGCATTCAGTACCATCTCTACTTACGAGGTTTATCCATCTCCATGCCAACTTTCTCCCAAGCTTGATCCACTGCATTTTTATTAGAATGTAGTACATTTCTGGTGTCCCAGATTCTTGGCCACTTCTCCACGACTTGTGCCAGTTGTAGTTTCTGCTCCGTCGAAAAATTTATTGTACGCTTCTGCCGCTTATTATGTGCGCTAATGTTCTCCATTCCTAGAAAACAAGTTGAGTTTATGGAAATTGAAGAAAAAACCTAACGTTTTGTTAAACTTACTTTATGCCGCTTGTTTTACGATATTTTTTGTAATTCGTCTCCTTCTTTTTTGTCACGAAATATATGTGCCAATAGATTTTTCGCGCGAAAAGGTGTGTTACCGTGCTTCGGTTTTTATTTCAAACTTTTAGAAATAGGCAGTAGAAAACGGAGTTTTTTTCGGGCGAGGTGCGTACTGCTTCGAAAAAAAATCACATAAAGTTTTTGTTACCTTGTTTTTATATGAAGTTTTCCCTTTTCGCGCGAAGTGCATACCAACTTTTAGCAGGTAAACAAAAACAGAAGTAACCCCCATCGGTCAATGAAAATAAGTACTGGCGACGAACTGTAATAATACCGAATCTGGATTCAATAACGGCCTCTTTACAACTAGAATTTTCCAATAAAAAATACTCCACCTCCAGCAGTAAAGATGTACGAACGAACGCGAAACATTTTGAACAAATCTATGATCTTGATGTTGAAGATGTAGATCTATTTAAAGAAAAACGAATGTCGACCAGCGATAAATAAGTGCATTTCCATTTTGAGCGCTTTTCCATGCACAATAGCGACTGTGTGGCGATCGTTTAGTACACTTCGTTAGTAAAAACCTGGCTGAGAAGCATAACAGGAGAACAAAAGCTTTCTGGACTATGCCTCATGTGTGTCCATAGAAGAATCGTTACCGAACACCTCAAGATGATTCAGGAGGAAATAGTCGAAAAGTTTTTCTGAAAATCCGAGACGTTTCATATTAGCGTAAAAATGATTTAATATAAAAAAAAATGTTTTAAGAAACAAGTACTGTTGCTTTGCCTCCCCCCCCACTTAAATTAAAATTAAATTATAATTTTCCATTACTGGTCTGGACATACAACATTGCAAGTTGATAAAAGCGTTGTATAAAGCAGATAAATTGGCCCATACATACGTTAGATATATGACTTTTATTTTTTTTTTTGTCGCGGTAGACCTTCCGATGGAAACACCTATATGGTTTTCTAAATTTTAAAATGCAACGCGCAAGTACTTAGAGTTATCATATTCGAATAAAATTTTGCACCGCTTATTTTTAGACCAAAATACATCTTTTTCCGCCCGGAAAACTGTATATTAAAGAAAAAAGCTGAAATAACGAACGGTCTAATTGATACTTACAACAATTTCTTAAAAATAAATAACATTATTATCGAATTTTAGAAATGGGCGTGGTACCGCCCACTTATTACTATATAAGTTTAATTCATTATGTCTAACTGAACATACTATCGAAATTGTTAGAAATAGGGATAAAACCACTTTGCTTACCATGTAACGGTAGTTTTCGGAAAGGTGAAAAAACTATATTTAATACGTGCGCCGGGTATTTAGTGTCGAACTTTGACTTTTTTACTTGTTAAAAAGTATTTTTTACATTACTTTATTTTGAACTTTTAAGTTTACTTTTAAACCAAAATTTAGTAGTTGCACTCCCTAATATCTGTCAATAAATCAAGGACAAATGAGATGATGTGTCACGAATTGGAACCTGATTTAATTTAAGCACTTGGCAGTATTCAGAGAAGCACGTCGCAAAAGTGTAAATTTTTCCAGGTACACTGAAAATAAAATCTACGTGCATATAACGAAAACTTGCGTATATTTTACGAAAGGTTTCGTCATTTTGAGCCACGAAAGTTTTCGTTGATTGTACAAAACCGTTTTCGTACATACTACGAAAATATGAGACATCAGATCTTAGTACATTTTACGAACGTATTCGTACTTTTTACGGATGAATTTCGTATTACTTACTAAAGAATTTCGTACAATTTCTTTATTTTTTTACGAAATTTTTGTAAAATGCACAAAAATAGTTCGTATATTTAACGAAATTATTTTCATAAAATCTGCGGTTGTTTCGTAGAACTTCCGATTGCTTTCATTCACCACACTGTAAAAAAACATAAGACGAATTATAACAAAACACTTTTATTTTGTTTTTATTCCTAATTTTAAGTGTTTCTCTTTAACAAAATGTCGTGCAATGTTTTCATGTGGAGGTACTTGGCAGATTCGCAGCTTCTTCGATGTTTGTTTGCTTTCTCGACTATAAATTGAAGGAAAATTATAAGGCGTCCGAAAGGCAAGTTTCAGTGAAAAATCATACATGTACTTACTTAAAATTTCATTAAGTAGTGCGTCTGTTCCTGGCTTGGGCTTGCCGTTGATAGCTAACTGATAAAATTGCCTATTTATGAAGTCCCACATTGCAGAGCAAGGCTCAGCGTGGGCGATGTTAAAAACATTGTATGCTTAAAGCATTTATCCACAGTTTTAGCATTTAATTTTATTTGTTTTTTGTTATTATATGGCCTTATAACTATTATATTCAACAATTTTTATGAGCTTGAGGCCTCAAGCCATAAAATAACAAAAAACAAATAACTTAAGGACGAGCACACCTAAAAGTTAAACATTCTAATAATAGAAATATTAACAAAAACCAGCAAAACCAACAACCACATAATCAAGTGAATTGCAGCGGAATAGCTGCGCTTGATTGTAGTTGGCTTAGCAAAGTGAAATAGCGGAAATAAGCAACAAGAATTAGCAAGGCAAACTTAGCACAGTGCGTAGACAACTGGCTGAGTCAGTGCTGATCGTCGGTTCGAATCTACTGAAAGAAGTCTGATGAGGAAATGTGGTGATTTCCGAAATAGCTATCACTTCTACCATTTTTTCAAATTATTGTTGCTTTTCCACAATAAGTTTTCACAAAAAACGGCCTCAAGCTAATAAAAATTGTTGAATATAATTGTTATAAGGCCAAAAAAATAACAAAAACAAATAACTTAAGGACGAGCACACCTAAAAGTTAAACATTCTAATAATAGAAATATTAACAAAAACCAGAAAAACCAACAACCACATGATCAAGTGAATTGCAGCGGAATAGCTGCGCTTGATTGTAGTTGGCTTAGCAAAGTGAAATAGCGGAAATAAGCAACAAGAATTAGCAAGGCAAACTTAGCACAGTGCGTAGACAACTGGCTGAGTCAGTGCTGATCGTCGGTTCGAATCTACTGAAAGAAGTCTGATGAGGAAATGTGGTGATTTCCCAAATAGCTATCACTTCTACCATTTTTTCAAATTATTGTTGCTTTTCCACTATAAGTTTTCACTTAAAACGGCCTCAAGCTCACACAGAGAAATATTCGTTTTCAAATTTGTATGGAACGTTTTACTTTTAAAAACGTTTTGACCCAGGTTTTGCACCTACAATATTTATTTAAATTTTGAGAACGAAAATTTTCAATTCAATTTCCAATATCCATGTTCTGGTTTTTGATACGAATATTTTCAAATCGTTTTTAAAAACGATAGTGTGATAATTGAATATGCGCATGTTGAAATTAAATCCTGAAATGTTTTTTCTTCATTTTAAAAATATGAGTTTTCGAATATGATATTCAAATTTTATTTTTATTAAATCACAACAAGTCGTTTGGTGCACACATTGTCAAAAATATATTGATATACATATACTTATAAATAAGTTACAACATTTAATAAATGAAATACAGATGTTTTGCATATTACTATATACATACATACAGATGTTCTTGTTTCTTCCAAGCTGGGCCTGCTAATTTTGCTTCACGCTGGTCAAATCCTGTAATTTAAATTAAGACAATTTTAAATTATTATTTAATAACCCATAAGAATTTGTTTTTGTAAGTTACTCTTACCAAAGCTTTTTTCGGTCAAAGAAGTCCACCAATGTCCCTTATATGTAGTTAGGGGTTAGAATGGCAGTATTGTTTGTATAACTTCATCGCCTTTTCTGAAGATTGAAGTAACTTATTTATCTGAACACAAATTTTCCGACAAATGATGCAAACATATGAAAGTTTTTCATTATAGCTAGGTAGCTTTTTAAAGTCTAATGCAAAACATTTTATTTTTAAATATTTTTCATACCTAATTGACTGAAAATAAATTAACCTTTTTATTTTAAAAATGTCTAGTTTTTTTTTGCTTGTTGAAAATTGTGTCGCTGTACAACTTGTTGGGAAAATATTCTAAAATGTTTCATTTAAGTTTTTAAAATACGCTCTTTTGACGCTATTTCTTTAATGTCGTTTGTTCTCCTCAGTAAAAAAAAGTTAATATATTATAACGACCGTTTTTGTTTTACGAATGTCTCGTTTTAAAGTCGTAAGTACAAATACTGTATTTTTTATTTTGTATGAAGTAAAATTATATCAAAAAATTTTATTTTACAATTTGTTTTAATAACTTGCATTTTACCTGTATCATTTTCTCTGTGCATAAAAGTTTTTGAATTTAATTTTATATTGTATTTTTATCCAGCGAAAGCTTCTTAAAACTTTTAAAATTATATTACTCGTCTCACAGTAGCCAACCAGTAGTTTAGCAATGACACGCGGTACATAAATATATGATGAAATATTAAACTGACGGTAATTTAGTATATTGTACGAAAATATTCGTCTGTTGTACGAATTAAAAAAAAATGTTTCTCCATTTGTTCTATGTACGAAAGTATTAAGTAAATTGTACGAATACAGAATTGAAGATTTCGTAAATTTTAATACCATACGTAAATATTACGAATGCCTTCGTACAATATACAAAATTAGTCGTACAAAGATTTGTTCAGTAATTTACGAATGTGTTTCGTAAAATAAACGTAAGATTTCGTAAATTATACGGAAAAAAGGCTTTACGAAAGTCCTTTCGTTATATTTACGAATGGTTCGTAAAATCTTGTTTCGTTGTGAAAAATGAACGAAAGTTTCCTACATTGTACAAAAACCAAGACTACGAAAGTTTTTCGTAGCACTTTTACGAAATTTTATTTTCAGTGTAGCATAGTGGAAGTATGTACACTTTTAAGACAAAAGTGATTTCTGTTGCGTATTGGGCGCTTTCGTCTTATTTCTGTATTTAACGTACTCCCTCTTACAGGAAACCAAATAATGTCGTTCTTATCAGAGGTGTCCAAAACCATGCACAACTTTATGTACATATAAGCTTATGAAACCTAATAGTTGGGCCATGTGAAACACAATACTGCTTGAAGCTATACTTGCTACGGCGGCAGCTATAAAGAACTTAGGGCCAGTTTCTCAATGTCTGGTTAACTCTAACTACAGGTTACACATCATTATCGACTCCCCATTGGGTATTATTTTTGAAGGTCTCCTGAAGGGAACCAGAGTTTTCCGATCGAAAAATATTGATTTTTAAGAATTCTATACCATTTCTACGAAAAAATTTATTTTCCCCATATAAAAATACATGGAAAACTTTGAGCGCCGTGAGCGACCTCTTAATATTTTTTGATTTCAAAATAAAAAATAGGGGTATACTTTCGATATAGAACAATCCTTGGGGGTGAGAGCATTACAATTCCACTTTACTGTTTTTGGACCGCCCTAATGTACATATATTAGAATGGTCCAAAAATGATTGTGAAAATGTAAATTCGGAATTTGTATGCTCTCACCTCCTAGGATTGTTCTATATCGGAAAAATATACCGTTTTTTATTTTGAAATAAAGCAATATTTAGAGGTCGCTCAAAGCGCTCAAAGTTTTCCACGTATTTTATATGGGAAAACAACTATTCGTAGGATTGCTTTAGAATTCATGAAAATCAATATTTTTCAATCGAAAAACCAGAGAACGTTAAATACAGAGAAGCTGTAACTCGCTACTCGTTGGAATTTTGTAATAGAGCAGAAACGCTCTAGAAGTTCACCACCTTAAATTTTTAACATAAATTGCATTAGAAGACCACCACTTTTTAACAGCGTGAGCGCAGAGCGGCACAAAATAACAGAATTTGAATAAATTATCAATTGTTAAATGTTATTTATATTTGTTTATATCTATCAACAAAATGAATTTTGATAGATATTTTAGTGGCCCTTTCTTTGAATTTAATCGAAAATCTTTTTTATGTATTACAAAAAAACTTCTGGATAAATTTTGGGAAACCGTTATTTTCATAAAAAATTCCGATATCTAAAAATTAATTAATATAAATTTGCGAAGATTTTGTAAACCATATTTTCGTCAACAATTAGTAAATTCATCATTAAAAAAATTATAAACACGCTAAAAGACAAACGCATGAAAATTATATATACAGTGAAACCTGCTTAAGTATCCCCCCGCTTAAGTAACCAACATTTTTGGACACCGTGAATTTCGTAATATAATCAGAAGAAAATCCCTCTCTTAAGCACCTCCCCGCTTATTACCCAACCCGCATAAGTACCTCAATTTTTCGTGCCGCATTTACAATTTTACCTATAATCTTCCGCTTTTAAGTGCTCTTTTTAAGTTCCTTAAAATATTTACATATTTTCAAATTCAGTAGCAGCGCCACACACCTTTGGTAAAAAAAATTCTAAAAAATCAACGGTAACTTTTAGCCACTTGAAACTTGCACATTATTGCACTAAAATTAAATGGACTATAAAACTGTATATTCAAAAAAAACACTGAGAAAAAAGTTTGAAATTATGATGCATTTTTTTTAATTGTTCTACAAAATCTTAAGCTTAGGTTTATATGGTATTTGTTAGGGAATGAACTGTATTTTAATTGATGGAAAAATCTTAAAAATTAATAAACAAACATAAGTGGTAAACAATATCATATTGAATTGGGTCCAAAATGATATATCCAACTTTGCCTTTTGAAAGAATTTAATTCCTTTAAAAATTACATACCATTGCATTATATATATATTTTTTTTAAACTTGTTTATGCTAAGATCTTGGTTTTAAACTATATATACTTCTTTAAATGTTGTTATTCAAGTATTATGTAAGTTAACAAGAAGATGCAACTACATCAGTAATTATGTTCGCTTAAGTACCCGCATCGAGGTACTTAAGCGGGTTCTTTTAAGTACCCAACCCGCCTATTTATGTATCTCAAAAAGCCGACATTTTTCGTGAGGTACTTAAGCGAGTTTTTCTGTAGATGCATTTATGTATATGTATGCACATAGGTATGCAAATACACAAATTCTGCACGCGGTTAAAATTTTGTTGCTATTTTTTATAAAAATATGGTTCATGCTTTAATCAAAACCCCATAAGTTAAAGTTTATACAGAACTTAGTAAAATTCAAGAAATGTTCGTCTAAATTTTTAACTTATTAATCTGAATTTTTAGAAAGATAGATCGGTTTTTTAATGCTAGTAAAACAAGCGCAAGTTTTAATCGGCTAAAAAATCTTGTTGATTTTTAATGATTTTTTGTTCCTGACGGCTTTCTGTACTTTTTACCACATAAAAGGAAATTTCTTGTAGAATTAATTGCGCAATACCGTTTGCCCGTTTGCAAACAAAATTTAAAAAAATAAACGCTATATTTTATAAATTTCACTTGTTATATGTATGCATAAAATCGCAAAATCCCTGGGAAAAAAATTATGAAAAATCAACGCGACTTTTCAGCCGCTTAAAACTGTGACTTGTTTCACTAGAATCAGAGAACGTAAAGTATAGAGAAATACCGAAAACTGTGAATGCCACATTTTTCGAGCCAACTGAACAAGCAAAGCGCATTTTAAGAGCGACCAATATTTGGAATACTTAACAGCGAAAGCAAAATACAAAGCAGAAAAGAAGAATATTATCAGAGCTAAATCTCACGAGAGCGTTTGGAGTGTTAATTAAATATGAATATTGATGATTTTTGTGATATTTTGGGAAAACTTTCAAATAGAAAACCCAAAAGCGTTAGATTTTTCCTGAAAATAATTGTTTTAGTAAAAAAAATTAAAATTTTTTCGGTGATTTGTACTAGTAACATGACATTAAATCGAAAATATTGTATAACATTTTCCGATTTTTGTGATATTTTACTAATGATTGCAAATAGAAAACTCCCATAAGTGTGTTTTTTGTGAAAACATTCTTTGATAAAAAAAATCCTTTTTTCGATGATTTTAACAAATACCGTGAAAATAAATCGAAAACGTTTTATAAAATTTTTTCGATTTTTGTAATATTTTGTTAGATTTCCAATTATAAAACTTTAATGGTGTTAAGTTTTTTTTTGTAAATAGATTTTTAGGGAAAAAAATAATTTCTTCGGTGATTTGTACAAAAAACGTTAAAATAATTCGAAAATATTGTATAACATTTTCCAATTTTTGTAATATTTTCAAGTAAAAAAATGTATTGGTGCTGGATTTAAAAAAAATGCGGGAGTACTAGGTACTCATGAAATTTGATGTGTAAACATATGCGAACGGCAAGCATAAAAGTACGTTTACATATAAATACAATCTCAATCAAAGCTCGTTAGCTGTCAAATTAGTTGTGCTTGTTATTCACTTTTTCTGCAACACATATTATGCCATTTAAATATATTTTAACTGAATATTTTATTAAAAATACCTTTACAAACCTATTTTCCTTACTAGCGGCAATTTTTGTTTACTTTAACAATTTAACATTCCTCCTCTTCTTCGCAAGTATAATCCATAAAACTATGTTGGACACCAACAAGTTATCGGTTTAATCGGAGATATTTTTAATTATAATTTTGCATGGCTAATCTCTTTTTCTAATAACAGATTAGGGAGTTAAGCTCGAAAATTAGGATAATCTTTTTATATGTAAAGTTAATATTAGGCGATTCAGATACATATATACAAATCGTTGGCTTAGTTCGCAAACGTGCTAAGTCCATTTTTTTTTTATTTTTCAGGAGGGACAAAAAACCGTCTAACTTTTTTTGTTGTCAATAATTTTTCTAATCTGTAAATGCAGTTTCCTTCCTTAGTTCGTCTTGTTTTAGTACCAATAATCGGCCAATTTCAAAATAAAGCTGTTGCAGTCTTTTCGGCTCTTTTGGGACTTACCACATTTTCTATTTAAGATTTTATTCTTTTAATGTGAACTTAGCACATTTTCTATCAACCTTTTTCCATTATTTTTTATTGTTAAAAGATTTAATTGTTTG